TCATGACCTGGTCACCATCACCAACATGGACAAAGAGAAACAGGTTCAGGAGAAAGTCAAGAACGCATCGACTCCTTTTGTCTGGATTGGACTGCGTTTCAACTGCAGTAGGAATGTTTGGTTCTGGGTCTGTGATAACTGGACCTGGAATGAACAGAAGGATGACTGTAACATGTTTGGAGCCATGGAGGCAGGAGGAGAGCATCGGTGGTTCCAAAGAAACGGCAGTGAGAGATTTAACTTCATCTGTACTAAATAATAATTCTTCTTTTTATTATCACCTTTTCTTTCCCACTTTGTGCTTCTTTTCAGTTGTGGGTTTAATAAAACTGACAAAACCATATTTGAATTTTGCCAAGGAGTGATCTGTTGAGCAGAATGCTAAATTAGATATTTGCTTAAAATAGAAAATAATTTTTTCTTGAAATGTTTTTTTTTCAAAACTGAATTGTTGAGATGTTCTACTTTTTATCTCGTCTCATATGAATATATGTTGTCTTTACAATATTTAATGACTGATAGCATCTACTCATCCTTGATAAAATTGTCTTGTGATTTAAAAACAATAAAATCATAATTGATTTGAAAACTTTTCCACATGTTGACAGACATTTTATTCTGTACAACTTAACAGAAAGATGTCGGGAAGCAGGAGATGGAACAGAAAGAGCCCAGTTATTTTGTCCACACCCTTAAACTAGTACTGTTAAGAAAACTTTTCATTCAATTTCATTATTAAATTTCCAAATTCACTGGATCCATCTGTCCCACTTAGAATTATGAGATATTTGTAGATTTGTATCCTATTATTAAACCCATAACTTACATTTCTGGTGAGCTGTACTTCTTCTAGTCGGTCCGTCTCTACAGGATTATTGTCTAAAAAACTAAACCACCTCAAACACCAAAGAAACACACACTTCAGAGATTTGTACTTCTATAAAAACTCAGGACTTTGTAATGACTTCCATTCATTTCAGTAACTACATTTAAGTCTAACCCAGACATTTTCACTAACCCCAACCCTAACTAGTCTATTCCTAACACCAACTTTAACCAAAACTTAATTCACACCACACCTCTAAATCTAACCAGAAGAGTTCTGTAAAAGGATCCAGTGGCGAGAAGAACAGAGCAGAAGAGAAAAGTCCAGCAGAGGCTGAAAGAGAAGACGGAGAACCTGAAGAACCTTCGGTCGGAGACGACGGATGATACACAACCCATGGAGGTGGTCGTTGCCGGGCAACCCGGGGTTCATCATGACCTTCAGAACCCGAAGGCCTCAGAACACCGGCGGAGTCTGGGACGCTTCCTGTAGGTTCTGGGATGATACCTGAAGGCAAGATGGTAACCAGTTTTTTGTACATTCTAGGCTACTAATTGTTACACATGTACATCCTCCATAATGCAATATTCAAGTCATATCTATAAAGTATATGAACTTTAATCTCCTTATCTTGTAAAAAGAGTTCACTGCAAATCCATGATTACACCGACGGCTGACAGATTGACGGCTGCTATCCATCGTGTTTCTTTCCTCATTAGAAGTTATAAAATAAAAGTTTGGTTTGCATCTTTGTCTTCAGCCAAACGTGCAGCACCCTATGACTATTTTTAATGTGAAACCAATAAAATAGAAGTGATATTAGGCTATTGATGTCTGGTTTTTGACAGGCTGTACAGAAGCGTACAGGTTGTTCTGACATCATGTCCTCTGGTTTTCCAGCATCTACTAGGATTACAAGGAAACAACAACTTCCTGGTTCGGACTAAGGAAGTTAATTTCCCCCGAATAATTTTGCTTCCTGTATGAAATTTTATTCTCAGCACGCTTTTCCACTCACCACACATAAATACCTATTCCATAAGAGCTCTTTAAATTAAAGCTTATTTAGCAAAGCTGTATCGTAAATCCAAACCTTCATCTATGAGAAGCTGGTTCCTGCTGTCAGTGGAGGAGTCAGAATTACATTAAAGAAACATGATAATTATATTAGGCAGTGAGAAGAAACCAACACTTTCAATTGACAGATATGAGCAATTAGTCTAAATTCAATATGAAGTAAAACTGGTTATTCCTGTTTTTTTCTGGATTTCCTGTTTGAAACTCTTGACATTAAATTTTAAGCTGCAAGATAAAGATCAGCTTTTATACTGGAGCTGATTTTCTCACTTTGACCAGTTTGTTCTGAAAGCTGTAACACATTATTAGAAAGACAAGCAGAAACTATAAGGGATAAACTACAAACAGTGATATTACAGCTCAGCACGCGATGCTGAATAAACAGTCAAGTTTTTCCTTATTTTCCCAAGCTATAGTTTGTTGCATCCAATTATTTTTCCTTCCTCTTTATAGCTTCTAAAGGGTTTCCTTGTGAAACCTGTTCCTGCTTTGTTTTGAATATTTAAAATATGAAATGGTAAAATTCAGCTGCTATTTAGAGATGTGGGAAAGTAAAACAGCAACAGTTTACCTGGGACTGTTTACAGCAGAGCATCAAGAGGAGAGAACCCATTCACTGAGGGACAAAGAAAAGAAATGTAAGTTTCATAGAACTATTGTTTTAATCCTATTCTCGCATTATTTTCATGTCAGCACACTTTTAGTTAGGAAAAGTTGCACTATATTTTCTCTCTGCTCTCATTGTTTCTCTGTCCAGTGGAGGGAGAGCTGCAGCTTTTCACTGTTTAAATGTTCTTCATCCAACAGAGACAAACTGCTGGAGGAAAATAATTCATCTGACAGCAAAGATGCAGTGGAGTCTGATTCTGCTCTTCCTGATGGGTAAGTTGATCTGAAACACAACTAGACTCTCTGGTTTCTGTTACGTTAAAGTCTGATTTAGAAACCAGCTGTCTATTCAATATTCACACAGAAAATAAAAGAATTAAACATAAAACTGATCAATTCTAGTAACTGTAATGTATGTCCTGTGTTAGTTCATACTGAAATGTGTTTATTGCTCTCAGCTCAGTGTTGCTTCATGGACTGTCAGCTCTATCAGTTTCACTACATTAATGAGAATAAGACCTGGACTGAAGCTCAGCAGTACTGCAGAGAGAAACACACTGACCTGGTCACAGTGACTAACATGAAGGACATGAAGAGACTCATCAACATCTCAGCTGGAGATCAGAAGGAAGCTTGGATTGGTCTGAATGATCCAATAAATGGTATCAGAACATGGCGCTGGTCTCTGCCTGGAGTGGAGTTCAATGAAAGTGAGACAAACTGGAACCCAGGAGAACCATGGGATCGCTGGATTTCCAACTGTGGAATTTTGGGGTGGAATGCCAGATGGTTTAATGCATACTGTACATATCAGTCCTTTTTCCTCTGTTATGATGGTAAGATCGGAGTGTTTTGGTTTAAATTTAATTTCTCCTTTAAAATATATGTACACCTGTGTCTGAATTCAAGGTCTGCACCCTTCAAAGGACGTATTTGTAGGCCAATTACGTCATAGCATGGCGACAAGGCCTGTCCAAATTCAAAGACTCCTTCAAAGGACTCTTTGCACCTCGGCTTCCGCGTTTGGGGAAAAGCGGCTCGATTGTTTTCGATCTATTGAAAATGGCCTTTTACACTAGGTGCTAGGGCCGAGGTTTGTACATCGGTCCGAAGCCCCAACAAGTAAGCTTGAGAAAGGTTTTAAGATGTACGCCTCGTTATACATTTACTGATACGAAGGTGAGTTTTACTTAAACTTTGTGGCTAACATTAACCTTAGCTTATGCTAGTAGGCAATCGACATTGTTCTTGTAAAAATGTGCTATTTAAGTATCTAAACATTCTAACGGACAATTTTTTTACCTAATTTTCAAGTATACTGTGTGTTTATTGTCGTTAGTGTCAGACTAAAGGGGTTCGGTTACGGTTTGGGCTTTTTACTTCCGAAGAACAACGAAGCACAACAAGCCTCATAGCTTAACAGTAGCGCAGCTCTGGTGTCAGAGATCTGGTTCAGCTGTTCAGGTTCAAAGTTGCTGCTTTTAGAAAAATATGACCGTGTTGCTTCATGTCTCCGTGTTATTTCGTTTTATTACCTTTGCATGTTTCTTGTGAAGAGCTCAGGACGGTGTTTACAGCAGTATGTACAGGCGGATCAGTTGCTTGGCTGTCTGGCTCTGGTCTGCTCTCTCGTTCCCATATACTCGCTTTTTCAGGCTGAATACAGAAGTGATTCCATGGAAATAACTCAGGGAGGCTCCTTTATTTACCATCCGTATCCCCGGTATTTTT